GCAGCACATATTCAAGTACTACTCAGCGAATATTTAAAAGGTTCACAAAAGAATGACAAGCGAAAAATTCCTTAGTTTGTACAAACAAGTGAAGCTTTTGAAAATGCTAAACAACAGTTAGCAACTACTACATTATTAGCACATCCTTCAACAAATGCATCTATCATTCTACAAGTCGATGCATCAGATTAAGCTACTGTTAACTAACAGGAGTTACTAAACAAGAGCTCGAACCTCTAACATTTTTCTCTAGAAAGCTGACAACCACTAAAGCAAAATACAGTGCCTATGATAGAGAGTTATTAGCAATATAACTCATCCATTCATAGATTTAACTACATGCTAGAACAACACAAATTAGCAGTATTTACTGACCACAAACCATTCAATGCGAAAGGAGCTGATAACATTGTGGCCGACACATTCATGAAACACACACATATCTCGCATTCATGAAATTAAAATCAATGGCCCCCATTGATAATGAAGAAATTGCTCAAGCACAATATACTAGATTTCGCTAATACTAACAATTCTTTGCAAATGAAAAACATTAAGCTTCCAAATTCAGAAATAGAATTGTATCGTGATATATCTACTGGTATAGCAAGACCTTATATTCCCTAGGCTTTTCGAAAATTGTGTTTTAATTGCGTACATAATTTAGCTCATCCAGGCATTCGAACGACGTTAAACATAGTTCGTAGTCGATATGTGTGGCCAAACATCGACAAAGATGTCACGAACTTGACAAGGCATTGTATCTCGTGCCAGAAATCACTGACACGAAATAAATAATAGATAAAAAATCTGATGTATACACCATATGACTTCCTTGTACAGAATATTAAAATTATACGCATTTTTCCTGCATTTTATTTAAACTTATTTCCTTGAATTTCATTAGAGATATATTTCTTATTCAATTAATTCAATTCTCACTTCACGATAAGGCAAAAATACATGAAACCTCAAAATATGTTTATTAAAAATTGAAAAAAATAAAACATACAATTAAAACAATTTAAAGAACAATTTTTACAACTAAAATTAGAGTTTCTATGCAAAAAAAAAAAAAAAAAAAAAAAAAAAAAAAAAAGCGGGCGAGAAGGCACATTTTTCGGAGCACAAGACTGAAAGTTTACTTTTGGTTTCAATCGGCAAAAAGTCACTGAAGGCGTAGAAACTGACTTAATTTGTTGTGGGCGCTATGCTGAGTCAATATATGGAATAATTTGATAACTTAAATGATAATTCCAGATTAAGAATGATTTAATACGCAATAAAAAAAGACGTTATCTTTTGTTGTTGCGAAGCTTAGTTTCTCTAGATTGGCAACAAATCCACTATTATGCTAAGTTTCAAATGTAAACAAATATGGCTTCTATGGATGTAGAAAAAAGGAGATAGAGGGCGCTGCGCCGCCCGTATGTTTAGCTAATTAAGAGTTTCGGCAGAGTGGGTTGAGAGGTTGATGAGAGTGGTTGAGAGTGACATAAACTAGATACTCTGTAATCTGTATATAATATTTGTACATATTCTTCTCTTCATTAAATAGATTTAGTTAAAGGAAAGTGTCTTTGTTTGGCCAATAGAACACAAGAACCACCGATAAAGAAGATGTAAGTAAGTTATTACATACAGCAAGTTTTGGTGCATCGGCCGGGAAGGTGAGTCATTTCATTTATCTGCATGCAAATTATCTTTGATAATGAGTTTTGAAGAAACCGTCGAGAGAAATAGAAAAATTAGAGGTTCGGTTCGTACCAGTGTAACAAAATTAATAAGGAAATTAGATGAGGAATTGCAAAGCGAGAATCCGAACCTAGAAGTGTTGCAGGAATCGCTTTCAGTGTTAATCGAGAGAGAAACTAGCTTGTTAAAATATGATGAAGTTAAATGCTCAAAGCACTGTTCAGGAATTAGAGACAGAAGTAGAACATTGTTTAGAATACAGCGAATCCATCATTAGATGTAAATCTAAAGTCAATAGATATATTCAAAATCTGGGTAAAACCGGAAAAACTTCACAAGTTTCGGAAATGAAAACTAATTATAATACTAAATTGCCTCGCATTACCTTAGAAACTTTCAGCGGCGATTTATGTAAATTTACTGAATTTTGGGCTCAGTATAAAGCTGCCATTCACGAAAACAATACGCTTCAAGATGTTGAGAAGTTTAACTATTTAAGATCTTTACTCACCGGTTCAGCTGCAAAAGCTATAAGCGGATTGCCATTAATAGGAGAAAAACTATATAAAGGCCATCGAAATCTTAACTGACAGATTTGGGAAAAAAGAAATATTAGTTAGCGCGCATATGAACGTTCTCCTAGCTTTAGAGCCAGTACGCCGATCAAGTGATGTATCCAGTTTAAGAAAACTATATGATGAAATAACAGTTCAAACAAATTAAAATAACAGAAGTTTAGAGACATTAGATATTAATTTTAATTCTTACGGCAATCTATTACTTCCTATTTTATATAAGTGTATACCGCAAGATTTAGTGTTACAGTTTAGTAGGGAGCAAAAGGTCGACACAGAGTCAACAGTGTCAGATTTATTGTTGTTTTCTAAAGAGAGAAGTAGAAGCGCGCGAAAAGTCACTTAACTCTGGGTCTTAAACAACAAACACTTTCGATAACCAGTGAAAGAAATACCGACAACTATCGTAAGAGTGTTGCTCCAATTAAAAAGAAAATGGTATCAGCGGCGACGCTTAATACATCAGTCGAAAATTATATGTGCGACTTTTGTCTTAAATCTCACCTTTCTAAAAGACTGCGACTTAAGTATTTCAGAGAAACACAAAGCACTTATACGATCAATTTAAGTGCAAGCGCTGATTAAAAAAAAGATCACAAAAAACCGTTTTGTAAGGCAAAATGGGTTAAATGTAATATTTGCAAATCTTTGTCGCATTTAGAGAGCCTGTGTGATGCAGAAGGGCAAGAAAATAAATCCATTAAAAATACTGCGAGCGCAGCAAAAGAGACAAACGTTAGTTCACTATTCCTCGAAACACTGAGCAAGCAAATTCCTAATGACGTGATTTATTATCAAACATTGAGAGGTCAACTGGTAGGAAATAATTCCACATTTAACGTTAGGTTGTTATGCGATTCAGCTTCCGAAAGATCTTATGTTTGTCAGTCTATTTCCAGAAAAGCAAGTTTACCAACTATTGGTAAAGAAAGATTAAGAATTCATACATTTGCATCTTCGAATCCGCCAGTGCGAGAATTTAAAAGAAAAGACTTTCTCTAAAAAATAAGACAGGGTTCACTCTAATCATCGAAGCACTCGAAGTAAAAACCATTTGTTCCAATGCATTACCCAGGCCATCTGAAGAAATTATAAACAATCTTCGCCAACAAGGATTTCACTTATCTGACAGCTGCGATAGTGAAGTGGCAGAGGTACAGATTTTAATTGGGAATGATTACTTGAACTGCATCTTAACGGGGAAAACACATCGGTTAACAGACTATTTAGTACTGCATGAAAGTATATTCGGTTGGACATTGAGTGGTAGAGTGGGGGGAGAGAGTAAGAAGTTAAGTTCAGGGTCAGACTCCACCGGCTTGTTTATACACATCGATTCGGAAGAGGAATTAAAAATATCGGATCAGATTCGTCAGCTTTGGGAGATTGAAAGTCTAGGAATCTCTGAATGCGCGTCGGAAAGGGTTCTGGCGATGAGCGAATAATTAAACAATTTGAAGAGGATTTGAAATATGTAGACGGGAGGTATGAGGCTCGCTTGTTGTGGAATAGGAGTCCAGAGCATTTGGAAAAATAATTTTGGTTTAGCGAAAAGGCAGTTCGAAAGGGTGCAGCGAGAGTTAAAAGGTAACAGCTTTGTGAGGGAACAGTTTATGGAAATAATTAAATTTCAGACACAAAACAACATTATTCAAGAGTGTGAGGATACGAGAGAGGGATACTTTTATGCCATTCCGAGCAGTGGTCCGTAAAGATAAAAAAGCACTCAAGTTCGAATGGTATTTAATTGCAGCAGTTGCGAAAGAGGAAAGCTATCGTTAAACGATTGCTTAGAAAAGGGCCCAAACCTAAATCCGAATATTTTGGATATCATTCTTTCCTTTCGAAAATTTAAAATTGGATTCTGCGGTGACATAGAAAAGGCGTTTTTGATGATGGGGATAGCAAGGGAAGATAGGCAATATTTAAAATTTCTCTGGTATCCTGATAATGACAGTGAGGACTTTAAAATTATGCAAATGAACAGAGTATTATTTGGATGTAATTGTTCACCGTTTTTATTGAGTGCAACGATCAAACATCATTTAAAGACATATGCGGAAAGAAACAAAAACTGTGTCGAGATTCTAAATAGCTCACTGTATGCAGACGATTTGTGTTATGGAGGGGAAAGTGTAGAATCAGCTTTCAGTCTTTCATCAGAGGCGGTATCTATTTTGAGAGACGCGAGTTTTAATTTGAGAAAGCTAAACACTAATTCTAAAGAGCTGTATGACTTGTGGGTTCAGGAAGGGTTGTGTGAAGAAAGTAGGTCTGAGACAGATAATAAGTTGAAAGTGTTAGGCTTGGTGTGGAACTTAGAAGAGGATGGTTTGAGAGTAGACGTTACATCATTGTTGAGTAGTTTGGAATCGTTGAGAAATAGTAAAAGATCGGTGTTAAGCACAGCAGTTAAGGTGTTTGACCCAGTCGGATTTATTTTCTCCATTTGTGGTGCGAGTTAAGAGACTGATGCAGGAAATATGGGAGAGAGGTTTGGAGTGGGATGCAGAGTTGCCAAAGGAGTTAGGGTGCAAATGGATAAAGTGGTGCGCTGAAATTGAGGAATTAAACGCGTTGAAAATAGAGAGGTACTACTTTACAGAAGTTCTAAGTAAAGGTCAGTCGGTTGAAATTCATATTTTCAGTGATGCGTCAGTAGTGGCATATGGAGCGGTGGCATATTTTAGATATAAGAATGAGAGAGGAGAGTTGTGTACGTCGTTTATAATGTCGAAGAGTAGGATACCTCCGTTAAAAAAGTTGTCCCTCCCTAGGTTGGAATTGATGGGGGCTGTAGTTGCAGCTAGGTTAGGAAAATATTTATTGAAAATATTTCAGGATTTGGTAGGTAGGTTAGTTCTGTGGACGGACTCCGAAATTTGCTTGTGGTGGATAAAGGGGTCAGCGCGTGAGTGGAAACAGTTCGTGTCGAATAGAGTTGCAGAAATACAAGACTGTACCTCGCCTGATAAGTGGAAATATTGTCCAGGGTCGGAAAACCCAGCAGATAAATTAACTCGTGGTGAAACAGCAAATGCATTGGTGAAAGATACTAACTGGTGGCATGGTCCATCATGGTTGAAAGATTCTGAAGATCAATGGCCTGAGCAGAAGTTTAAAGTAGAAACTGATTCTCAAAATTTGGAACGTTTAAGCACTTATGTTCAAGTGACTATTCCAGAAGAAGAAAATGCGTTAGACATTACCAAATTCAGCAGTCTCGAAAAATTGTTGAGAGTTACAGCTTGGGTAAAGCGGTTTGTCGCCAAGCTAACAAAACGTGCCTGTGAAGAAGGTCCTCTTACTGTATTGGAGATCCAAGAAGCTGAGGAGTACTGGATAAAACAAGTACAGAGAGCGAATTACTTTTCGGATATTCAACGACTAGAGAGGAATAATCTAATAACACCAGATTCTAAGCTTTACAGTTTAGCACCATATCTGGACAGTAGAGGTATTTTGCGTGTCAGAGGTCGTTTGGAACAATCAGAATTAATAGATGACGAAAAACATCCCATTATTCTGCCCAAAACGAAGTTCACCGAACTAGTGATATTTAGTGAACACATAAAAGTATTCCATTCAGGAGTCATGGCAACATTGTCCAAAGTCAGGAATAAATTTTGGATACCTAAAGGAAGACAAGTAGTAAAGAAAGTTATTAACGCTTGCCTGGTGTGTAAAAAGTTTGCAGTGAAGCCCGCCAAACAGTTAACGGGTCAGTTACCCAGAGATCGTTTAGTCCAAAGTAATCCTTTCACAGTTGCAGGCATCGACTTAACGGGAGCAGTTACTATTAGAGAAAAAGCGGATAACCACAAAAAAGGTGTACATAGCCTTATTTACATGCGCCATCACTCGTGCTGTACACATTGAAGTGGTTTCAGATATGTCAGCAAAAAGTGTCATTTTTTCATTACGACGTTTTTTAGCAAGAAGAGGGAGCTGCAAAGTGATTTATTCAGATAATGCCAAGAATTTCCGCAGCACATGTGAAATAATTAAAGGATTTAAAAGAATCAAAGCAGATCCAAGTGTGAGTGATTTCTTGACATCCAAAGAGGTAACATGGAAATTCATACCTGAGCGTTCCCCATGGTGGGGAGGGTTCTGGGAGCGTTTTTGATGAGAAGCATCAAGGAACCTCTGAAGAAAATCTTAGGGAGAGCATTACTGACTTTCGAAGAGCTCTCTACAATATTAACTGAACTCGAGTGTGTGCTAAATAATAGACCTCTAACATACGAGAGCAACGAGCTGGGTAAACCTCGCCCGCTCACACCTTCACAGTTTTTATTGCCAGGACGTGGTACATTTAACTTTCCCGAGCATTTCTTGGAAATTTTTAACAAGGTATCCGACAAAGAGACTTTAACCAGGAGGAAGCTTTACCAATCTAAGCTCTTAAAATTAACATGGATCAAGTGGAAAGAGCAATATTTACTCCATCTTAGAAATGCGCATAACTTTGCTAATCCTAAAACTGAGCGGAACCTTAAGACTGGAGACGTTGTGTTGGTAGAAGGACCAAAACAATCCAAACTACTTTGGGACATGGGTGTAATTGAAAACGTGATTATAGGAAGAGATGGACATGTTCGAGCGTGCCTCGTTCGCACGCCCAAAGGACAATTCAGAAGATCGATCCAGATGTTATATCCTTTCGAGATTTAATTTAGAACTTTTGATATTATTGAGTTTTATTATATTATTAATTATTATGTTCATTTGTGGCTTTGATATATACTAGTATAGATTATTCATTTATATATGTCATACCATTTAGTATTAATCCATTATTAATTAATGTTGATATTGTTATGTAAGTAAGTTTGTGTACTCTTGTTAAAGAGTACAGGTGGGGAATGATGTAGAAAAAAAAAGAGATAGAGGGCGCTGCGCCGCCCGTATGTTTAGCTAATTAAGGGTTTCGGCAGAGTGGGTTGAGAGGTTGATGAGAGTGGTTGAGAGTGACATAAACTAGATACTCTGTAATCTGTATATAATATTTGTACATAGTCTTCTCTTCATTAAATAGATTTAGTTAAAGGAAAGTGTCTTTGTTTGGCCAATAGAACACAAGAACCACCGATAAAGAAGATGTAAGTAAGTTATTACAATGGTAAAACAATTAAACTTAACCGCACTTAAAAAACTTTTAAATTGTTGATAGTTCTGCAACTATTGCGCGGAAGTTAACTAAAGGCATAAAAATCTTAACCGGAAGATAAGAACAGCATAATCCAATCATTTTTAAAGCAAAAAATGCATAATTTATAAAACATATAAGAATAAAGAAACTGAGCTCACTTAGTCGAGTAACAGAATAAGTAATACATATATTGATATACTTTTGGTGAGGCTGATTGCCACTAAAACGGGAGGTGCACAACTGCATGCTATAGCAGTCCTATATACAAACTTTCAACGTGAGGTTACTCGTTTTTGAGTTATACGAGATTCATACATACATACATACGTACGTACAGACAGACGCCACAAAAAATCTCTTCTGAATCCATTTTAAATTAGAAATTTTATTTTGTCCTTACGTACAGATGTCACGAAAAAGATCGTTAAATTGCATTCGATAGTGGTCAAAATTGATATTTTCGTTGAAATATGGTACCCGGAATTTTTCGTGATTACAACACTTCCTTTACTTCATACAATAAAGTAAAAATCAGAGTCACTTTATAATTAATGATCTGTTCGGTTCATTTCAAAAGTAGAGCACCTTTTATTTTAATAGTGAAATACGTTAAATATTGCTGCTGATTTCCGTATTACTTAACTTTCTAAGAGTATTTCTGTAAGGAATAAAAGAAAAAGGTGTTTTTTTTTTTTTTTTTTTTTTTTTGTATTATTTAAAACTTGAAACTGAGTTATTATAAAATATAAGGAAATAATTCTTTTAATATTTATAATTTTTTATCCTTAATTTCAACTATATGTATTCTAAAAATTCTACTTTACTACTTCCTTTTCAACAATGCACATTCTAAGAATTCTACTTTATTGCTTTTTAAGTACGCATCTCATAGGTTGTGCTTTATAACACCTTTTAATGGATTACACTCTAAGAATTCTACTTTACTGCTTTTTAAGTACGCATCTCATAGGTTGTGATTTATAACACCTTTTAATAGATTGTCTTTCAGTACAAACAATTCTTGCTTAAATAGATTTTTTAAATGCACATGTTTACAATTAAATGTAAGGTTATCATACATTAGGATAATATTTATAATCGTCATAAGTTTACATATATTTAATAACTAAATTTCTTTAAAGTAACATTCACAGGAGTTTTTAAATGAATAAATGCCTCATTTCAAAATACATTAAAAAATAATTCAAATATTTGGGCATTGTGTTAAATACATGCTTTTTACAAGTGTTAAGTTTAGGATTGTGTATCCATAGATCGCCAATAGATGGCGGTAGTGCTTATAAAAAGAAACAGTGATGTCAATTATGTATATGTATCAGTTCGTCTTTGGTGTTTGTGAATAAATGTTGTGTGGAAGAACGCTCCTCTGTTTATTACTTTAACTGCGATCCAGTCTGATTTATTAGAGATTTACACATATTTGTTTATGGTGCCTGCAAACCGGGATTATTACGAACCAGAAAAATCGACAGACTGAATATTTCGAAAATGGAGGGCGTTCTTGAACATTTGAAAAAGAAACGATCGGTTGTTAGTTAGACAATTAACTATGAAATTGATAACCAAAGTCGAAACGAATTTAGCAAATAATATTCCGCTAAATGAGAAAACTGAAATAATCGAGGATTTGTATGTACAGTTAATTGAAAAAAACAACGAACTGAAAAGTTTAGATTTTAAATTGAAACGAAAGTAACTTCGGAGGAGATTGTGAATGAAGTTATGCTAAGTCAAGAATACCAGGATAAAACTGTTATATAAAGAGGAAGAATGCAACGATTTTTGAAAAAGAATTCGGAACCTCCTAGAACAGCTGTTCATCAGAACGAAACGGCTAGTGTTGCACTTCCAGATGAAACGAAAACAGTGAAGTTACCACGTCTGCAAATCGGAACTTATTACGGAGATTCGTGTAAATGGCTTGGACTTTTGGAACCAATTCGAAAATACAATTCATAATCATAGTGGATTGAGAAAAACTGAAAAATTTGCGTACCTAAAATCCTTACTTGGAGGTAATGCTTTAGCTGCCATTTCCGGTTTCGCTTTAAGTGACCAGAATTATGATTCCGCAGTAGAAATATTGAAAGAACGTTTTGGAAGATATGATGTTGTTATCACTTCGCATATGAATAAATTATTATCCCTTGAACCAGTGGGAAACATTTCAAATGTTAAAGCACTGCGTAAGCTGTACGATGAATGCGAAGTCAACATTCGAAGTTTAGAATCGTTAAACGTTACTTCTCGAAATTATGGAAATATTCTCTGTCCTATCATTTTGCAGAAATTTCCAGAGGAATTAATTTGGAATTTAATCGAAGTCGAAATATGGAAGCAAGATTTGATATAAAGGAACTTATCGAATTCTTAAAAAAGGAAGTTAACTGTCGAGAAGCTGCAAGTTTAATGAACTCTGCGAAAACGAATCAGAAACCATACTTTCGTCAAAATGAACAACGCACGAAAGTTTATCCTAATTATAAACCGAAAGTTCCGACTGCTTCAGCTTTATCAACAATTGGATACAAATGTATATTTTGTGACAAAGAAGATCATACGAAATATAAATGTACTGAGGTGAACTCTGAAGAGAAATGAAACATTTTGAAACGTACAGGAAAATGTTTTCTGTGTTTTGGATGTAAACATTTAGCTATCAACTGTAAGAACAAACAGTTTTCCTGCAAAAAGTGCCGCGGTAAACATCATGAAAGTGTGTGTGTAAATCCCACATCAGCTGTCTCCAGTGTAAAAAATAAGGAAACCGAAACATCGGCAGAAATTGTTCAAAATTCTTCTGCCAAAACTGGATCTAATATTATGCTTCAAACGGTGTATACTGTGGCTGAGGGCAGAAATA